CTGAATCCACTGAAGGCTGCATTGTCCAGCATTTGGCTACACAAGGGAAGATAACCGCTTCTCTGTTAGCTGATGTGGCATTTAAATCATGAATCATTTAAGTTTAGATGAGCATTAAAAAGTGGAGGAAGATCATTAAAATCTGACCTTGCCTTTCCCTGATTTGCTTGTTTCCTTTTCCACTTTCATGTCATCTTGAATCCTAGTAATTACTGAATAGGTTGCCTCCCAAATGTATCTTGATGGAAGGAAGCAAGGGATGAAAATGTACCTCCTCCTTTCTCTTTGCCTGTTCCAGAGCCTCAAACCAGGATTTAAATATAGAAGTTGATTGACATAAGGAGCAAAGATAATTTGGGAAAGGCTGCTGCTCCAGGCATGTCTTGTGCCTGTTGCAAACACTTGGAGGATAAAACAAGGGATCCATGGGGATGTGTACAAAATTGGGGTAGAGATACATACCCCTTCCTTTGTGATCAATAGATTGATATTGTTACCAATTTTGACATGAATTGGAAAAAGGCAGCTTTAAGAGTGACTACAACGGAGACAGAGATACAAACAGACAATACAAGTGCAAGTGGTCTCTCAATTTATCCGCCAAAGGTCTTTATTTTTTTCCAGTGGTACAGTGCGGCAATTACACAGGAATTTCTGGGTGGCTGTAGTCAAAATAAAACAATTCCATAGACTGAACCCAAACTTACAAACATGCAGCTGCTTGTGAGGGAGGAAAAAGAAGAGGAATGCTAGAGGCAGGACCTAGGCAGGCAAGTGGCTGAGACTTCACACCAAGGAGGTCTGTCTTGTGCAGACTATTCAAAACAACAGTCAGGGCTCTTGTGTGTTGCTAAACCTAGGATACCAGTAATGAGGAAAGAGGGAGGGGTATATGAGTCATGCAGAGAATTGTCACCTGTTTTCCTGAGAGATCTATGTTTAAGAGGTGTATGGTGGACAAACTGAACAGATACAGCATTTGTTAGTTTTATAATGCAGTAATGGAGAAAGCATCACTTTTGGATTTCTGTGAATTGTGTTGCTGTTAAAATTGATAAGCTTCTCTCAGGAACAGAAATGACAACTGAAGCATCACCTGTCCTTGGATATGGCTGAGATGAGTGCATCCCCCAGCCCCCTATGAATGATACTGAGTCGCCTATGTGGGTTTTACAACTCTTCCTATTATAAAAATAGCTGAGTCTGTTGCACAGTTTGTAATAAATGCCTGGAATGAATGAGCGGATGAATACAACCTGTGTGCTCCTATTTTAATTGTCATAGTTAAGGCCCTTGCACCTACTTAGAAACAGCTTACTGCTAAGACCAGTCTGTCCAAAGTGATCATTCCATTTAATATCAAGTTGAAGCTCAATCAAAATCCCTGCTAATTGAGAGTTCAATCTTGCATTTTTTTACTCAAAAGTGGGTATAGAACTGCACCCTGGAAAATTAAGACCACCATCTTCTCACGTGTACCTGAAAGTAAGTCACACTGAACTCAGTAGGGCTTTTTGAAAAATATATAGGACTGCATTATCAAGCAAGGAACAATAGGGCATCTAGGAGCCATGCATCTGTAGCAAACAAAGTCCTGGCCAGTCCATAATTTATAATATTTTATAATGTCATTCTTTTTTTAAGAGAATAAATACACATTTTTGAATAATTAAAAAATAAGGTAAATACATATATAAAATCATTACTCGCAGCAGTGAATTCCCTTGAGAGTGGTCTCAAATTTTCGGGAACAAATATAAAATTATGCCAATAGAATACTCATCTTATGGAAATGTCAGCAAAAATAGGGGGAAATATTTGTAACCTTTTAAAATTCACCAGCAGCTGATACAAACACCGGACTACATCTACACCTAGAATTAATGAAGTTTGATACCACATTAACTGCCATGGCTCAATGCTATAGAATTCTGGAAGTTGTAGTTTGGCGAGGCATCCAAACTCTTGGCAGAGAAAGCTACAGCCCTTGTAAAACTGCAACTCCCATTACTGCATAATATTGGACCTTGGCAGTTCATTCTGTAGTGTAGGTGCATCCTTAGTACTCTTGACTGTGATTATTAGAGATCAGAGTAGCCCAAGAACTGGGCCTCCACTACAGTTGAATTGGCCTGTTTAAGAAACAGGAATCTAGAGTGAAACACTATACTGCACTAGTTCTTATCATAAGCCACCATAGAGTAAAACAGTGAGTATCAAAGACCTAGTGTTTGTCTTGTGCTTATAAGAAGTGGTAACAACACAACCCACATAATGCTGTACATTATAACACATAGTTATTCACTTTCTTTCTCTTTCACACACACACACACACAGAATGTAGCTTAATGCAAGACAAGAATATACAGGTTGAAAAGTTCAGCACAAAAACATATGGCAAATAATAGACAGTCTCCTGTTAATCATGCACATGTACGGCAAATCATACTGGGATGATGTATTTGTTTCCCATAGCAAAAGCTGTTGCGCTAATAGGAGAAACCACTTTGTCTGCTTGCATCACCGTCATGCAGGTGGCTTGCACATTCTTTTGGAAAATACACCCACAGAGAGGGGCTCAGGAACACAACTTGAAGCAGGAACAAATGTTTCAAGTACTTGACTACTGTGATGGTTGATGACAGCTAGAAAGTTTAATAAACAGAAACCAGCAAGATGTCTCTGGTTGGGGATGTTCTTTCCTTCGCATCAACCCCTGCTGATCCCAGCAGGCTCTTTTTTATTGCACAATTGGTTGCCAACAGGAGACTGTAACATGTTGAAAAGTAACTCTAGGATTAAGAGTCTGGGTATGAAATAGGTGCAAATGTTTCTCTTCCTTGTGGGTAATAGAGCCTCTAGCTCCAAAAGCCTGCCTATCTAGAACCCCACATAATTATCTGAGAGACAGAAACAGACAAAATTAAGAGCCACATAATCCAAGTTACACAAACAACCATAAATAAGATGTTTGAATGGGTTTCCATGCAGTAAATTGTGTGTAACTAGCTTCTTGCACAGTTTTAGTAACTCTTCCCTGTGCAATTTCTAACAGCAATAAGATCAAGAACTGTGTTAGCACATGGTGGAATATTTCACATAATAAATATTGCATGTATGATTTAAATCTTTGTTCAAAGCTTGCATTAGGGAAAATTCCAAAAGTCTGTTTGTCTGGCTTATCATGCTATTTCTCACTATGTAATAACAGTTCCTATGAATTCCAATACAAAAGTTAGCATGAATTGTCAGATGACGACAACCCAGGTGTCATATGACCCAAGTGTCTACTATCATGCAACAGGAACACCTATCTTATCTTCTCTCTCAAGGGGACAACGTTCTTCATGTATGGTGAGATACTTCCTGTCTCCATGAATTTCCCTGAATGGGACCAATATATTAGCTATTAACTGTTTGACTGCATCATTGTGTTGGAAAATGGAATGGAGATTTTTTTTTTTGTTCTAATACATTTTTGTTAGCTGGGACAAAAAGCACCCCAATGGCAAAGGTCAGCAGAGTTGTTTAGAAAGTTTGTTGTCTCAGCTGCTTTTTCTTTGAAGAAAAGAGCCTATGAGCAAGTGGCTAAAATTAGGAGACACTATTTAAAATGGGCCATTGCTAGTGACAGTGTTGTAGAATGGCTACATTGTTCTGAATGGAATCTATAACAGAACATGACTCTGGGAAATTAAAATGTCCTGCCTGAGTGCAGCTGAAATGCTGTGTTTAGCAGTAATTTCAGTTTGCCGATCAATGAAAAAGCAGAAGAGATCAAGGCTGGATTTGAAGAGGAAAGGTAGCTTTTTCATAAACTTTTCTAGTTGCAGAAAAACTACAGCTAGGAATAATACAACATGTTTGTTTATATCTTGTCTACAATTGCACCCTTTCTCTGCAAATCTGGCTACTGTTGCATGCTTGTCATCTGGTTATGCAACTTGAGAGTTAGTGTTGTTGAACTCAGTGGGATTTGCTTTTGACAAGAACATCTGAATGGTGGAGGCTGTTCACCAGATGTTACTTAAGCTACAACATAGTCCTCAGTTTAGTTGATCTTATCTTTATCTGAGTCTATATGAAATACCATAAGCAACTAATCATGTATTTTTAAAAATATAAATGAAAGGTTTTCACATTCATGAGATATATGTTCCCATGCATTTCATCACTGCAATTTATGTCTCTATCTTTTATAAGGGGTTGGATGAACCTCCAGTTTGCTAGTAAAACTGAATTCCTGTGTCACAAAAAGATGCATGTCTAAAAAGTGTGTTACCAACATGAAATGTTTGAAAAGCTGTTTTCTAGGATGCCAACCTTTTCTAAAATCTCCTACAAAAATGTAGAATGATTAAACTTCCTGCCATGTAAAATTCATGACATCGTTATTTCTGTTTTATAGGCAAGAGGAGGACAGGACTGAATAATGTTAAAAACAATGAATGCCGAATTTATTATACAAGCTCAGGACTGCTAGCTTTGGATTACAGTGATGGGGTGAATGAGCATCCTAAGTGGTTACCCATATAAGCATGTTAGCTTCTTGTCTATTGCAGTTTTGGAGGCAACAAAAGAAAATACGTGAACTCCACAATAAATAAATAAATAAATAAATAAATAAATAAATAAACTTGCAGCTTACCATGTGCTATTACCCCTCTATGCCCAGCTTTCTTGAAGATGGCTTGCTTTCCAATTTGGCCCAAAGTTCCAATGTGTCCATATATTGAGAGTTATATGGAAGGCCACATACTGCACACACATATTATACTCAACATGGAACTGCATTAGCTTTGTGCATGCAAATTCAGACAGTCAACAGAGAGATTAAAACGATGTCAGCAGTGGTGGTTAACATGTGTCCCTTTAGAGGCTGTTCCATCAGCCCTTGTCAGCACAGTCAGTGGTGAGGGATAATGGGAATGGCTGTCCAATAACATCTGGAAAACTGCCAATTTTTGCTGTAAAGGTATCTCTGACCTAGAAGCTTCATTATGTGTCGACTTCTGTATATTTCACTGAGATCCTAGCAACTTGACTTGAATCTGCATTTCATTCCCTGTACCTTCACCAATTGGTAAGTCTATCTGATCTGATTGTTCTGGTTTCAATTCAACAGACAGTCCAGAACCTGGACAGAAAATGGGAATAGTTTGAGAGGACTGCATTTTTGTTAGCAGCTAAACTAAGAAGTGCATAAATAAATCAAGAAAACCAAATGCCCACTAGTAGCGAGAAAATAAATAAATAAAAATCTACCAATAGGGCAAAGGAAAAGAAAGCAATGGAGGCAGGGAGAGGGAAAGAGAGAATATTTCATGCAGTGGGTTATGGAGGCCCAGCCATCTGTTTACCGGAGCCCATTAGGGTAACTTTGGACTTTGTCACATAAAAAATAGAAACTCTGCTGGCACCTAGCTGAAGACACACGGAGTCAGACAACCAACAGCCAGACGCAGAGGGGATTTTTGGGGAAGCTAGGACAGTTTGGGGGTACCATGCCAGTGACTATTTACAAAAAAAGATACAACAAAGAGAGGTACAACCCTGCCCTTGCCCAGCTCCCCTCTAACTCAGCCGGTCTCCTCATTCCAGGACTCTGGAGTGGCACTCGGAGCGGTGTTTTGTTCCCCATTACATGTAGCAGGGGCTGCTGCTGGGGCTGCTGCTGGGGCTGCTGTGGTGGCTGGTGTTTCTGCAGTAGCGATCGGAGCTGTTGATGCTGTTCCTTCTGGGCTTGCTGCTGCAGGAGGGGCGGCTGTTGCTATTGTAGCTGTGGCTGCCTCAGTCGCCGCTGGAACTTTGCCATCTGCCTCTGGTTTGGCCTGTGAGGAGCTGGTGGTCTCTGTGGGGGCAGCCCCGTCTGTTGATGCAGCAGCGGGAGGATTTGCCTTGGCTGCATCTGTGTGTTCTGGTGCTCGGAGTCTCTTCATCATGGTGGTCACACGGACCGCTTTCTGTAGGATAGGAGGGAGATAGAGAAGGTCGCCTAGTGGGTCACATAATGATTTAATACCTCCTCAATATCGAGACAATAAAACCAGTGTCTCCATCTAGCTCTCTGCCCTCCACTTTACAATTTGATATTATCTATTCAAAAGTGTTTTTAACAAATAATAGTAATCTCGGCATGTTTGTACAGAGGGATCTCAGCTTTATTGTGAAGTTGTTTTCAGCACTTCTGACTAAGGCTAAAGCATCAAAAAGCAAACAATAAGGCCCATACAATTTCTAGGGAACTGAATTTTAAAAAATAGTGTCAGAAGCGTCTTGAGAAATTGGCCATCTGCAGAGACGTTGCCCAAGGGACGCCCGGATGTGTTCCTATCATGTGAGAGGCTTCTCTCATATCCCCACATGGGAAGCTGGAGCTGACAGATAGGAGCTCACCCCATCTCGTGGATTTGAACTGGCAACCTTCAGGTTAGCAGTTCAGCTGGCACAAACCGTGCCTCCTGTTTTACTGATGACTAGAGGCCTTCCGTAAGTAAAGTATAGGGCTATGTACCATTTAATTTTTTTCAGGTAAATAATTTGGCTTTTAAATCAATCAATTTTGTAGATACTAGCAGGTTTTCTCATTTTATTTATTTGGAGTGTTTATTAATTGTCTCCCAGATCACAAGGATTCCAGAGGTGATACATAACCAATACAAACATTTAAAACAGTATAGAGATTTTAAAAATGCTCAAAACACAATAAAATCCTCTTTAAAAACAATCTACAAACAATTCTAAAATATGGTTTTATATCACACTTTTAAAACAGGGCCATTTTAAATAGCAAAGGGCATGTGGGACAGCACTGTTTTATGAGTCTGCCATACACTCAAAACAGATGAAATCAACCTAACTTTGTTTTGTGGGAAGTTCCACATTCCTGGTGCTAGTATAAAGAAAATCTCGTTACATGTCCTTAATTTCACAGGGTATTAGAACATGCAACAGGGGCTCAGTAGAAGATCTCAAATTCTGAATAGCATGGCCTCAATATCAGTTAGCTTTTTTCCAATCAACTGGAGAATAGATTTCCAACACTTGCAACGGGGGATGCTCAGTAAGTCAGGACTGGGTCAGGGCATGGCATGGCCAGGGGACATTACTGATCTGCAGCTAAATAGCTGATCTAAAATCATGGTTACTCCCCCCTCCCCCAATCTTATGTGAACAAAACATTTTGCAGAAAATCACAATTTTTTTTGGAAGAGGAAAATAATGTTCAAATGCAGAAAAATCCTTTTTCTCCCACCCTGTGGTGTGGAAACATGAAATTATTTATATATTTAGTTAGTCTTCCCAATATAAAACCAATACCCATTGACAGAGAAAGTGCAGAAGAGACCAGAAACAGAGCAAGAGAGAATTGGATACATCTCCTCAAATCTGAGGCTATCTTAGACTGCCTTGGGTCTTGTAGTGACTCAGAGTCAGGAAGAATGCTAGTCAACATCACTCTTACCTTCCATTTTGCCCTGGCAAAATTCTTCTCAATCTGAGCACATACACCATCCTTTATGTTCTTGTCTGAAGCTGCATTACCAGAAATCCTAGAGAGAGGGAGAGGAGAGGAGAGGAGAGGAGAGGAGAGGAGAGAGAGAGAGAGAGAGAGAGAGAGAGAGAAGGCACAAGGCTTACTTCTCTGACTTTGTTGCACCCTATCTTGAGATCTAAGGGTGCATCTATACTGTAGACTTAGTGCAGCTTGAAACCACTTTAACTGCCATGGAATCCTGGATTTGTAGTTTGGTGAGGCATCAGCACTAGATGATACCTCACCAATCTTGCTTGCTGTGAGGCCGCCCTGAGTCCCCCTTCGGGGGTGAGAAGGGCGGGTTATAAATGCAGGAAATAAATAAATAAATAGCTGGAAAAGAAGACAAAAGACCTAGTAAAGCTACACTTTTCATGATTCCATAGCATTGAGGTATAACAGTTAAAGTGGGGTCAAATTGCATTAATTTTACATTGTAGATGCACCTGAAGTCCACCCCAAGTCAGGAGCAGTTCTAGTGTACTTACCATTCATGGGAAATAGCCTCCTCTGCTGTAATCCTTTGGTCTTGATCCACCTCCATCAGACGTGCCACCAGATCCTTGGCTGGAGAAAAGAGGAAACAATTACTTACAATGGCTTAGCAGAGGATGAGGGGCACAGCAGACAATGATCTGGAGATAGTATGAGATCTTAATGATTAGATAGTTTTCACTAATAATAGGTGAAAAGCCTATATTAGTGATGGAAAATAGACATCTGTGGCTACCAATTTTAAATGAAAAAAATCAAGATGGAAAAACTTCAAGTAACCTCTAGTCCAATCAGAATCCTTTCATGATTGCTTTATTTTCAATTCACGTGGTTTTCAGATAGTTACTGCATACTATTTATCATGACCATTTGCAAGAAAGGTCCTGGAGAATCACATCAGGGATGCAAATATTGATTTCCTCATGCAAAAACACATTGTTTCAAAACTTCTCCCTGCATGAGATTACAACCGTTCTTGCACATTTTCAAATAGTATATTTTGGAAAAATTTTTGTAAAAATAATTAAATTTAAATTATTTGGATTTTTTTGGGGAAAAATTGGGCAAAAACCTGCCCCTGCAACACTTTTAGTGCAAAAACATTGTCTTTTGGCACAAAACCAGGTGTTTTGCAACCCCCCCTCAACTCACAAACCCAAATGCAAATAATTCTCATGACAGTTGACAATTTCCTTGATGCGTTGTTGCAGTGTGATGAGACATCTTTCTTGCCAGAAAGATTCCATTTTTAAATACAGGGGGCTTTTGCTGTCTGTTTATATAAAGTTATTGTCCTTCCAACTCTATTGAACGCCTGTGAAATAATGGAAAAGCTACAAATGCTACTCTTGATTTCTGGAAAGGTTCCCTCAGTGCTACTTTAGAAAAACCATGCAAATCTCTTGGGAAGACAGGTGCACAAACATCAGCATTCTGGGAGAAGCAAAGACCAAGAGCGTTGAACTTCACTGGCCTGGCCATACTGTCCAAATGCTGACTACCATCTCCCAAAGCAGTTACTTTATTCTCAGCTCAAGAATGGAAAACAGAATGTTGATGAACAACAAAAGGGATTTAAAAATGGGCTGAAAGCAAACCATTTAAAAATGTGGAATAGACACCAAAAACTGGGAAGCCCTGGCTCTCAAGCCTTCTAATTGGAGGTCAGCTTTTACTAACAGTGCTGTGGATTTTGAAGAGGCATGAATAGAGGATAAAAGGGAGAAACATGCCAAGAAGGCACATCATGCCTTCTTGTCAGGACTGCCTTTCATCTGGAATGTGTCCTCACTGTGAAAGACCATGTGGATCCAAAATAGGTCTCCACAGTTACTTACGGACCCACCACCAAGACAGCCATACTTGGCTACATGTAATCACCTATAGATAAAATGGCAAAATCAAGATTTACCTTTTGGATTTTTATTGAATATTTTAAAGCAATGGATGGTTGAATCCATAAATACAAAATCTGTGGACAGGAGGATTTATTACATACTTGGACATACTGGCTAAGTCAAAGACTTCTCCACCTACCCTGCCATAGAATGGTACCAATGACAACTTACGTTTCCCCTACTGCTATGATAAGGGAAGGGTGAGTAAATCCAATCCTGTTAAATGGATATGGGAACCACGGAGTTGCATTTACCATTCACAATTGGGGGGTAGGCAGCTCCTACAAGCGACATGCAATGTGCATTTTCCTGTTCCCAACACCCCAGCCCATTATGCCTATTCATGAAGCCTTACCTGCCTGGGAGATATCATCCCAATAGGGTGGATCAAACTCATAGTCGCCAGCCAAGATCTTGCGGAACAAGTTCTTGTCATGATTCTCATAGTCATCCTCATCCATTTCCTCATAGAAGGGTGGGTTCCCTGACAAACTGTAGCATAAGAATGTGATTTATGTGTGAGAAATTAACTACAGTAAGTACATCAGCAACAAGAGATTTAAGATCCATGGTTTTCACTGCTGGGCAAACCCTGTTACTCACTCCTAAGTTGACTATCTCTTATCTAAAATATTTGGGACCAGAAATATTTTGACTTTCAGATTTTGGAATCTATGTATTTGCATATATGTAACTAATGAAACATCTTAGAGATGGGACCAAGCCTAGACATGTAATACATCAATGCTTATATACACTTTATACAATTTATACACACTATTTGTAATAATTTTCTGCATGAAATGTTTGTATACACCGATTCATTAAAAAGCAAAAGTCTCAATATCTCAGTCACCCATGTGGACAGTTTTGGATTTTGGAGTATTTTGGAATTCTGGAAAAGAGATGCTCAAACTATACCATCACTGGTCCCAGGATGCAGCAACTTGAGGCCATCCCATGATGTTGCTGGATGCCAACTGCAATCATTTATCAGCATTACCTATCCAACTAGGGATGATGGGAGTTATACTCTAGCAGATTGGAGGCAAGTTGCCTCCTGTATTCCATAACCATGTACTTTTCCTTGAGTCATCATTTCCCCCATGTCTGTCCTGTTTTATTTTCTGGCATTCATCCTCCCCGCTATCCACACTGTCCCATTAGAACTTGGCTATCCAAAAGCCTCACCTCCCCTGCTTACTTACAGAATATACATGATCACACCAATTGCCCAACAGTCCACAGGCCTTCCATATCGCTGGCGCCCAACAACCTCAGGAGCTGCAAGATCAGAAGGAAATGCTGAGTACTCTTCCAAGGAAATGTCTACAACTCCCCCCTCCCCCTCAGAGGACACATAATAGAAAATCTTCTATAACTCAGGATTTCAGAAACCTTGCTTCAATCGAGTTGAAACTGAACATTTAAAAATATCACATGGTACAACTATTTTAGGGCTATGCCACTTTAAAAGGCAGATGTAAGAATTTACACAGTTTAATATGTAAACATTCCCTGTATATTTTTAAGTTAGTGCTTTACAAATGCAAAAAGCAAAAGAAGAGAGAACAAACATATAGTATTCACTGGATTATGTTTATTTACTGGACCTGTATGCTGCCCTTTGCCTCAAAGTAAAATTCAAGGTGACTCACAATATTATTAAATAAGGAAGAATATGCTTAAAACACAAAATGGACCTATAATTTAATAGATATCTAAGCATCCAGGGGCAGATTTAAATTAGGAGAACACCTAAGCTGCAGACCTACATCTTCAGGGGGACTGCAACCCTATCAATCACAGGTTGAATTCTTATTCCCCGATCTGTTTTATGACTAATTGGGAGCATTTCTGTCTTGTCTTCAACTTGTTTGCCCTCATCCAGTTCAATACATCTGTCAGGAACTGGTTTAGCACAGAAACAGCTTTTTTGGAATGAGGTGGAAAAAGAGAAAGAATTGGATGTCATCAATATACTGGTGACATCTAATGCCAAAACTTTGAATAACCTCTCCAAGGGTTTGATGTATATGTTAAATAGTATAGGGAACAAAACAGAGCCATATAGAATCTCACAAGTCAAGGTAACAGCAGTCCCCCAGCACCCATCTTCTAGTATTGCTCTTCAAGGAAGAAATGAAGGCTCTGCAAAACAGTGTCTCCAAGCCTCACCTCAGTGAGGCAGCCCAAAAGCATACCATGGTCAATTTGCTCAGAGATCCAGCAAAACTGTCAGGAACACATTCACCCTGTGTAGTTCCTAATGTGGAGGTTCTACCAAGGTGACCAACGCTGTCTCCATCCCATAACCAGAATTGAAGCCAGATTGAAATGGATCAGGATAATTCGTCTCATGCAGGCTTGCTACTGGTTGTGTGAGGCCACCATTTAAATTGTACAAGGGATTTGCCAATGAGATGAAGAATCCATATAGTCAAGAAGTAATTTGACATAGGATTGGAGTGCATAGTCTTTTATGGAGAGCAACCATAATACAGAGCTGCTGCCCTTACATCCTGTACTTCACATGAATACCTGGCTGGTCACTGTGGGAAAGAGGGTCCTGGAATAGGGAAGCCTAGCAGGACTATTCTTAATCTGTTTGTGGATATCACTTCTGTCCTCCCACTGGGTCCTTGCATTAAAACACCACTCTGGTTGTGATCGTGGTGCCAGGACTAGTTGTACCATTAGGCTGCGTGAGATATGTAATCATGTCAGGGAGGTGGGAGGAAAGCAGTGGCAGCTTCCACATTAGGCTTGTAAACCTTTCAGCTATTCTGCTATGTTGCATGACTGCTTGTATATATCACATATATTACGCAAGCAGTCCTGATCTCTCTCTCTCTCCCTCCCCCCCCCCCAATTAGGTCTCCTGCCTCAGATGTACATACTCTCAGTCAATGCAAATCCAATCAGCTTCTGTGTTAATGTGGGTGAGGGTGTCATTTTATTATTTCCTTTAGGTAGTGAAATACTTTGGGATGGCTTGGCATGTTGCCATCTCTTACCTAGATATTCAGGGGTTCCACAGGGTTCCTTAATGAGCCCATTCTCCAGTTTGGCGAGATGAAAGTCACTGATTACAATCTTTGAGTTCTTCAGGCGGTTATAGTACACTAAATTCTCTAGCTGTGGGAACACAGTAGAAAAGAAGAGATGGATGAAAGGGGGCAATATGAAAGGAAACCAGAACTTCCAGATTAACAGCCGAATGTGGACAAAATGACTCCTTTCAGCTTCCAAAGATGCACCATACTCTTGGAAATGCATGGCACACTATATTTGGAATGGGTCTCTCTGTATTTCTGTGTATATGAGTGTGTGTGAGAGAGTTAATGAGTAGGAGTGTGCATATTGCATGGACATGACCTTAGCCATAATGAAGAAGAATGGGAAACAAATGGCAATGTTGTATTGGCTTTACTCTGCTTTGAAATGGAAGCAAGTGCAAATGAGGATGTGATAAGTAACTGGCTTTGGTGTTGCTGTGTCCAGGGCCTAGCAGGAGATGAATGACTTACCTTGAGATTCCTATGTACAATCTTGAGGGAATGTAGGTAAGCCACAGCCTCCAGCACCTGTCTGACAACATTACTGGTGTCACGCTCAGAGTAGTAACCCTGATCTAAGATCCAGTCAAATACTTCCCGTCCAGTGGCTCTATGGATGGGAGAAAAACAAAAAGAAAGGAGGGAGACTAGGTTACTTAATATTGCACTACTGCATCAGTATCATGCCATAGCATCATTGCCATATCAGAAAAGAGGGTTCCTCATAACAACAAGATTGGTAGAAACTGTGCCCCAGGACCCTTTCATACCACAAAATTAGAGCACTACGTTTCCATTTAACTGCCATGGCTGCATCCTATGGAACTGGCAGTCTGGTCAGAGGCACTGGACGAGTTCTCTGGCTAAAAAATCAAAATGTCCCTTTTTCTTAGTGCTTTATTTCTTTCATGCGAAAGGCTTCCAGGATATATACCAGAACCAGGGCCAGCTCTACCATTAGGGAGAGTGAGGCAGCTGCCTTTATGATGAGGATCAGAGGTGAACTGTTTAGAATAAAACTGTGTACTCTGAACGGTCTGCCCTCTGTCCCCTTAGCTAGCCCACTGTTCCCAGGTAGGATGCAAGATGGTGTCCTATTCCCCTCAATGCAGTTGTCTTTTGTGTAAAAAATGGGTGGGTGGTGGATCTTGCCCTCATTTAAGGGAGCATTTTAGGTCAGCCTGAATGGGACATACATTGGTGCTTAGACCACTGATCCATCCAATTCCGTGATTCCCGAACTCTAGCCCTCCAGGTGTTTTCGACTTCAAATCATAGAAGCCTCAACCGCTTTTGCCAATGTTCAGAGATCCTGGGAACCCAAACTCTGGAAGACTAGAGTTTGGGAAACATGGATAAACTAATTTAGCAGCATCTCTCCAAGGTTTCAGAGTGAAAGCTTTCCTATCCATGGAGAAAGATGGTGGGAACTGAATTTGACATCTTCTCCATGCTATCCACCAATGAATCACTGCTCTTCCCTCAAATGAACATAATGAATTCATGAATGGCATACAGATTATTTGGTGAGACAACCTGTAAAGTGTGAATAAGATTATTCAGAGCTGAGAAAGCTTACAAGAAGCCCTGTGATACAAAGGGGAGAAACCCCTAAATGTACTGCATCTTCGAATAGAATGCCTACTTACAGTTCCAAGAAGAGGAAGTATTCTTTCCGGGTAACATACACATCTACCAGCTGCAAAATATTGGGGTGTTTCACCCTGTAGAGAAAGGAAAGCAAGGTGAAAGCTAGGAGTTGGGAGAGATATTGGGGCCTATCCAATCCAAGGGTAAGGAAGGGTTTTTGTAGCCCAGAAATGGGCAATGTATGCTACCTCAAGGTTGTTAGAAAACACCTGCCATCAGTCCTAACTCATGTAGCCAGTGGGGAATAAAGATGGGAATTGCAGTCCAAAAGGTCTGGAGTGCTACACAGTTTTTATATATACAGCAGTCAATGTTTATCTGTTAAGTATCTGTCTAACCCAGTGGTTCCCAACCTTTGGTCCTCCAACTGTTTGGGACTTCAACTCCCAGAAATCCCAGCCAGCTTACCAGCTGTTAGGAATTGTGGGATTTAACGTCCAAAACACCTGAAGGACCAAAGGTTGGGAACCACTGGTCTAACCATTTTGGAGGAGGCAACTTCCTACAGCTGTCAAATCACTCAGCGGAGTGTATTCCATTTCTTTACTACTTTTGTAATGAGGAAGACATTTCTAAGCTAAATATGCACTATGCAGCTGAAGACAGAGTTCCTATTATATCCTCAACAATTATAGGGAATAATTCTCCTTTTCTTTAACTTGTCACTTTTCTATAACTTGTCTATCCCCCATACACCCAATCCTTCTTTGAGACTACACATGTGAAGTTCCTCCAGCACTTATGCATGGGATTGCCTTCATCATCCTCACATGTCTCTAATGAATCCTTTAGAACTTGTCAGGCTCCTTCATGAAATGTAGTACTTAGTGAGCATAATAGCATCTTTTTAGAGCATCAAATCAGAGGATATTTTGAGGAAGTGCAGAATTCTGAAACACTCTTGATTTGGTCAGTGAGCCTTGCCAAGAATGGCATACTCCTATGGTCCCAGGAAAGAGGTCTTGACTCTTACACCTCAATCCAGTCAATCACTTGAATGGGTTGATTGTATTATATATTGGCAATGAGGTTCATGTACTTACTAACAAAAGATGGTGACTACCAATATGCTATCCAGTTTTAAAACATTTTAAATAGATTGTTCATAAAAAACAAACAAACACAACTCACAGGCATCTATGTAAATACACGAAACATAAAAATACAAGGAGTGCTGGCAGTGGCACAGGAAAGATCCATCTCCTTTTCCCTTAGCTTGATTGGGAGTTTAAGGAAAAGGTGATAGCTCCAGTGTTCAGGCTGCCCCAAAGCTGTGAGATATTCCGAGGGATATCTGAAATTTGCTCAAAGCTGTGTAAAGTCAAATTAACCTTTAAAAAAAATCTGTGGTACCCAGTGGAGGGCACCATTGCTGTGACTTGTCGTGGCTGATGGGAACTGGAGTTCCAATAACATCTGGAAGGCTATGGAATCACAAGTTCTAAATTAAGAACCCTCCCCCAGCTAATGCCATGTTCTCAATATGACTCACATCCCTAGCTGCTTATTTTAAAAACAGCCGTCATCTAGTCTGGCCCTTAATTGCCAACCAGTGCCTTGTAGGTGGACAAGCTGGTAACTGTCACTGAATAGGTAATAACGTTGTTATAGCTGTATTTCGTGCAGGAAATGAATTAAACTGAACACTCTGCAGCCTGAGGTTGTCAAGTGATTTATGCTATTAGAGAACGTATCTCATGTTTTGCTCACCAAAGAAATCAATCATAACAGTTCTTTCTTCCATATATTTCAAGTAGCTTGGAAAATATACTTTCCTTGCTGAAGGGAAAGGGCTGGAACTCAGGGAATGCTTTCACATGTCGTGATCTGCTTTACACATGGCAATATATATGGAATTATATAAGGTTCATATTCAATTAACGGATAGGCAAGATAAATACAATAATTCAGTGCATACAAAGGGTGCTCTGATGATGCGGAATTACATGGGCCATATATGTTCCTGGCCCAGTTTTGTTGCCTTCATTGATCCAATTCCTTTTCTTGCCCAAATTGTTTACATTAAAAAAAAAGAGAACTGAGCTCCCAAAAGTCTGTGATTATGACAACAGTCAATTACCCCTGATTTCATAAATTTTTTAAGTTGAACTTAAACTCCCAGAAATCCCAGTCAGCTTAGAAGCCTTTAGGAATTGTGGGT